GGCCAGCACCAGTGCCCGCAGCCGGTGGCACCTCGGCAGCAGCAGACGGGATGCCCCAGACACACGGAGGGGACAGAGCCCCAGCAGAGCTGGGCAGAGCTGGTGGGTCCATCCCCAGAGCTGGAGGGTTTAACAGGGCTGTCCTTTAAGCAGCTGTCATTAGGCTCCAGGGTTAACAGCCCACGAGGAATTTCCTATTTTGCAGCATAACCACAGCTTCTGTCCCGACGCAGTCTCAACAGCATTACAGCGAATGCGTTCACAGCGCAGGTCCTTAGAACTGCTTTTTAATAAATACTGATGCCTCTGCTACAAAGCCATGCTAGCTAATCCTTTAACAGAGGATGTTCCTCCATCTGACACACATGAATGCTCTCTTAGCAAAAAAGGATAATTCTAATTAATTTTTAATATATTTTTTAAACAGTTTGAACATAGGATAAAGTTTACAAGAAAAGATGACAAGAGAGGACTGAACAGTAGCATTCTTTTTGATAAATAAACAAAGATTTGCAGAGAGAAGCATGTTCCTAGGATCGACACAGTGCAGAGAGCATCGATTCTCCATCGCGCCAGACCTGCACCATCTCCTTTAAAACCAGCAGGGACCGAGGACTCTTTGCAGCATTCCTGTTCAGCCGGCAGCTTGCAGGAGCCCACCATCAGCCAGCAGTGCCCCCGAGCACAGAGTAATTACTGTATTGCTGGTGCAACATTTGGCAAAGTAAAAACATATCCTGCGCTGCTCATCCACGTGTCAGGACAATGGCTGCGACAGGCTCCCGGGAACCCTGTTAAACATCTCAATTAACTCCCTTCGTTAGCAATTCAGTAACTCACCTGCCCAGCGATGCAAAACAAAGAAAATTGGACTTACTACCAGAGCGGTTTAGGGAGAGTTTATTTTAATAAAACTGATTTCTGGACTCATCTGAAAGTCCTCCATTTCTTCTAACTATTAACGAGACAGAGGTACGATACGAAGCCTGTTTGCACAGATCACTCCCTTTTCCTCAGGGCAGATTTACTTTCCTTTCCTATCACAGAACTAGTCAGGAACTGACCCCTTTGGGGCTTTCCAGACTGCCACCTAATCCTCACCGTAGCCAAGATTGCACACAGATGTCCTCTGCAGTCTCAAGATGAAGCAGATGAGACAGAGATTAACTCACTTCCCCAAACTGAAAAATTTAAGTTAATGACATGAGCCGCAGGCCCAGATCCCTCTACTCAAAAGCTCATTTTCTGGCTTGAGCTTTCTCTCAGCAAGAAGAATTAAAAACCTGATTTTCATACTGCAAATTAAGATTTCAAAACACCCCCTACATCCATCATCTAAGCACAACTGCACTCTCTGCGATTTTATTGCACAAACCCCAGAACACGCGACAGCATTTCTCCCTCACCATTATCTGTCTGAGACAAGCCACACAATACAAGACAGATAAGGAGCCAGAATTTGCAGCCTGCGCGTGAATCGTCGCTGCAGCGGGAGCTGGGCTGCGGGTAAGCCCCTTCTCCCCACCCGCGCCAGGGAAGCGGCCGCCCCACACGTGAAGGCACAGCCCATGCACTGCCAGTTCCTGCTGCAACCCCCGTGCTGCTGCGGCACAGAGCCCCCCGCTGCGGCACAGAGCCCCCTGCTGCGGTTATCGCACCCGGCCAAGCCTTGCCGAGCTCCCTTTGCTAACAGGGTGCTAGCAGCTTTTAACGGTGGTGCTCGACAACAAATGCACGGTTACCAGCTCACCACTGGCACATTTTTCAAGAAGAAAACAGTCCTTCGCTGAGCCCGCCCCTCCTCTTCCTCACCACGCAGTTCCGAAGCAGGACAGCTGGGTTTAGAGCTCCCATTTTGTTGCTGTTTCCTTCCATTTTCCCTTGGTTTGCTGCAAGGGCTAAGGATGGATAGGAGGCAAGCTGGAGACCCGCTCCCACCTCTTCAGCTTCTGACAACACTCACCCTCTAGAGAACCGAGCTGAGTAATGAACTGGCACAAAACCTCAAGCACCACCGGCAGCATTTGAAGTTTCTTCCAAGACATAGTCAATTACTAACAAAATGGAAAAGGTAATGCTACCAAAAGCAGGAGGGACTGACCCGAGACTCAGTTCAGCATAAGGTCTTGCAGCAATACTCCACAGCAGATTTCTGTTAAAGCAGAGTTTTCCAGGGGAGAGAGGAAAAAAACCAGAAAAAGAAAAAAAAAAAAGCAACTTCAAAAGCATGCAGTTTATTTCTGCAATGCCTGATGTTCATCGAGTCACACTTCAGCGCTCAGAGCCATGAAAACACTGCTTTTGAGGTGACATTTGTAGTTGCCTCATTACTCTTTTCAAAAGAGTTTTGCATCAAAGAGCCAGAGCTTCAAACAACAGACCCTACAGGAGTAAAATAACTTATTAACAGCACAGGAAATGGAATCGCCAGGAACTGCTGATACCAAAACAAGCAGGGCAGGCGTGCCGGCACCAGCCAGCCCACCAGAGCCAGCAGCAGGCTGCTGGACCC